ATTTTTCTTACAATTCTAAAATCCATCATTCCAACCTTATCTACATAACTGGCACATACTGTATATAGATTATGCCTCTAACCAACGTGACAACACAAGACCACACAATACTATTTTAGCCTGAGTACATCCTGCTCTGTGAGATGTTCAGAACAGAAAGAGGCCAAAAAACGGATTAAAATCAGGCAGCTACAGCACCCATGTCTGAACAGCTAACAGAAGATTGCATTGCAGGAGGTGCTAGTAAAGAGATATTGTCACTGCCATTTAGTCACAAATAAACATGACTGTAGCGTAGGCCGTCAGTCTGGCAGACTTTCAAACCAGGGTCCATTATCTCCTGACATTTACATTTGTTCACCACCTCTCATGGATTTAGAAGCATTGAATTACTTTGAGTGTGGGCTAGGAGGAACACACCAATCCTGTGATTTTTTAAATCCGTAATGAAGGGATTTTGTTAGGTGTCCAATTCAGATTGTTGTGTCATTTCTGCATGAAAATCCAATGCTGGCAGGTAATGGCGTCACCTACGAGGGCGTCTGGAAGGAGGTTTCTTTAATGTTATCTTCAGCAGGCTGGTAGACTGGCATGGTGGAGGCAGTTGGTTCCAGCTAATTTATGAAGGACCAAAAACCAACTAATCAATCCAACAAAAACATACTATTGGGTTTGTTACAATGTGGTTATTCATGGCTTATGTTTGGACTCCCATGTGTCGGACATCATAGATGTTTATGAACAGAAGCCCTCAGCCCCCCCCTTCCTGCGCCCATGGCTCCCAGCGCGCAACTAGGAGTGATCAAGGTTACCATGAGTGTCCTGGCGAGAAGGTAGGTCATGGCGTCGGGGAATAATCCTCGAGATGATGGAAAGGGAAGATGGACGGATGAAATACAATATCCAATTTGAGAGCAAGGGGAAGAGCCTCGTCTCCGGCCACCACATCGCCTTTGACTACATGCAAAAAGTGGACAGTCTGTTGGTCGGCACTCGTGTTGTGGTCAAGCATCAGCCTGAAGAGGGCCAGTTCTGCCCTGGGACCCTGGCAGAGCTCCCAAGCAGGATCAACCGCATGAGATTCCTGGTGTTTATGGATGATCACACGCCACTCTATGTGAACTTACCTAGCCTTCACCTGGTGTGCAGACCATTGACGGACCCCTTGGACGATATTCCAGATGGCAGCCACAAGATCTTCATGCAGGCGTATTTAAAGTCCTGGTAGTGTGTGTGAGATCCGTGTGTGTGAGATCCTTGTGTGTGAGATCCTGTGGCTGCAGGCTGTGCTCAAGGAAACAGCAGCAGGATTGAGGCTATGTGTCATTGTGATCATGCTTTAATAAATGCCCACACCAGCTTATATTTGGGACGTTTTGCCTCTGCCTCCTGTTAGAGATTTTGAGGATGTTTAAAACCAACCTCGTCTCCGCGTGTCGTTTGGTAAGCTGGGTAAATTCGTAAAAAGGAAGGGATTAAGGAACACCAGAATGCAAGTGAAACAATAATCTTGTTTTAATGATACAAAGTAACAATACAAATACATCACCGAATCACGAAGCACTCTGCAGAGTACTCCGGGCTCAGGTTCTACCACCGTGTGAGACAGGTCTCAGGAACGGCCAGTCAAAAACAAGAGCGCGAACCAAAGGAAAACACAGGCTTTCATACTAAAACACAGGAGGAGGTGTGTGCGTGCTTTCCCCCAGAGGTCATCTTATTGGGAGAGACCAACACATGGCCTGTCGCACCCAATCAGTGCGACACAGCAGAAGAAACCCGGAAACAAAAAGTCTCTTTCAGTTTGACGAAGACCAGACACCTTTTGGTGTCTGGTACGAACCTGATCTTATTTCACATCTTGCAGCCAGCACACACACACATCCCCTTTATGGCCCTTTGTCCATCTTCCCCCCTCAGGTTACCACACACAAGTTAAAAGTATGTTTTAAGATATAGTTGTTATAGTTGGCTAAATATACGTAATACATGTAAATCACTTTCCACAACACACACTACACACACACACCACAAACGACACAGACAGATCCAGCACACACACACCACACACACCCCACAGCTGACTCCACTCAACGAGCACATCAACACGACAACGGCACTGACACACACACACACAACCGATCACAGTGAGCTGGTGGAACGAGGACATACTAGTACTCAGCAATTGTGTCGAAGGGGTGTCTTCTCGTCCGCCAATGTGATCTAACCACTTTCCTTGTTGGGTATAATATTAAAGTTCTCAGTAACTTAATCACTTTCATTTTATGTCACGATTTATAGAAACTTCCTAAAGAAAAACTGTTTAATCCGTCATAATTATACATTTTTCGACCCACTATTACACCAAGCACACTATCCAACAAGATTCTTGGTGTTGGGTTTTCACCAAGTTGAACTCGGTGTTGCCTATTATAGTAGTTTTAAATTCTTTTGCGGGTGTACTTAGTAGTATGTGAAGTGACTTTAACATGAAAACTGTGAGAATCCTCTCGTAATAACAGAGCACAAGCTAGATCAAAAAGAACGTTTATGGAAAATTTGAATATCCTGGCGCCGAGCTAAGTCTGTTTACGTCGACGTGCTGAGGGAGGCGGTACTGAGAGCTAGTATAACCAGATCTACGTTGTAACCTTCCCAGGGGTGGGGGGTCAGAGTAAGGGGGAGGAGATATGTGTACCTATTGATCCTACGGGATTGACAGCACTTAACACCTTTTTAATTTGGACCTTAATCCCCGGCAAGTCTGATTTCAAGTGTTTTTAACCATGGGAAGAATCTATGTACAATAGGAGGTTCCACACCTCTCAGCAGGGGGTACGACTCACGGCGGGGACATGGCCGCCGGCGTGTCGAGTTGTCCTTACGAGTTTGGTTTTACAGGACGTAAATAAATAATAAATAAAAGGAAAAATACTGTATAATATTATGCTATTATATATATTTAATTATTAAGCCATAACCGGAATAATATAATGAAGTCGATAATTAGAAGTACCTAATTTGTGAATAACCAGATTAACAATTGGACTACATAAACATCAGAACCCCGGAACAACACAATCTTTAGGACGTCCCCATTACGTTAACATAACCGCGCAGAGACACATTAAATTTTAAGTTTTTATTTAGTATTATATTTTCTTTTCTCGTTATCCTGGCATGTAAATAACATGAAAGTCACCTGTCTACCTGATGCACTTAACGTGTAGGCTAAAACCGTGGACACAACGGTGACGTGAAAAGTTGGTTGGACTAAAGCGTTGTTGTTGTCCACACCTATTAAGTGAAGCTGACACGAGTAGTCTTTATTGGAGAGTTGAAAAAAGACAAAGGAGGTGTCACCGCAACCAATCTAAAAACGGAAAACTACATCGTATAATTTTTACCTTGATTGTAAATGACTTGCTGTAGACGCGATCTTTTCATCTTTTAGGTGACAGACAGATGTGCGTAGTGCTCTTAAATTAAGCTCAGTAATTTAAGGTGCGTAACGCGGCTGAGTGTGTGGCGTAGGATTAGGCGCGGTAGTTAGGTCCCGTTGCAGTATCTCTCTTGTAGTGCGTTCTCCTACGGGCTCGATAAGCTGTTGTATCGATCAAACTCAGGATTTTTCCGCCAGAGCGTAGGTTTCTGTAGCATGTCGTCTCTGAAGTCTGTATCTGTGGGCTGTATATTTTTATATCTAAATGTTGAAAACGTATGTGTGGGTTGACTACGTTCATTCGAACATAACACCATAAGAAAAAGTCATCTTTAACACTTCGACTGTTAACGTCAGTCTTTTTACTGTGTTGGGGGTCGTAGTCGCGTGCTAGGATTTCGGTGCGCGCCTCACGCGCGTAGAGATACTTGATAGGGAAAGCGTGTTCGAGTTATTTTTTCGGTTGCACCGCAATGCGTCCAGCGAATTGAGTGTCATTAGTTGTGGCGAGAAATATTGCAGGTGTGGAGTGGACATATATGTCGGGTTTTCGTTCAGATCAAGGAGTAGGCACACAATGTAAACTTGCGCTGTGTATGTCCTACGTGAGGGTTAAGGAGGAGGCTAGTATCTGTTACGCGCGACTCTGTAGAATGATACACAAGGATCATCTCTCTGTGCTGCGGTGCGTCCCGCGCGCTCTGTAGTGTGTATGAACTAGGAGTGGTGTCGTGTGGGACTCTTTACCATAGAAGGGGAGGAGTTTTACTACTTCGCCTACTGACAATGTGTAGTCGTATCCGTTGGACGCGCGAGCGAGTACGTGTTGTGTTTGAGTACGTTCGCGAATTCTCTCGGCATATTGTCAAGGTTAGATATGGGATTAGGATTAGCCTGTGGTTAGTATCAGTAAGATGGTAATGTATCACGTCTCAATGATTTTACTGTTTGTGTTGTATTTCGCGCCGCGGTAGATGAGTGTTGATATGACTGGAGTAGGGACTTTACCGATGTGCGTCGAATAATATCTGCCTCCTCTGCTTCTCTCTGTCTCCTTCTCTTGGAGGAATCTAAAGTCGGCAGTTAGAGTCCTCTCTATTGAGATGAACAAAAGTTATCTTCACACACCTGACATTTTTGTATTGATATTGATGACATAAATTTTACTTGTGGGTTATTTACATGTTTTCGTCTCATTACTGGTTCCTTTGCATTTTTTTTTAATATTTACGTTTATACTCTTTTGGTATAGATACTTCAGTTGCTACACGTTATCGAGTTTACCGACCTTTCTGTTCGTCCTTGTCTACTCACACAAGAGATTATAAAGCCCGACACCACCTTCAAACGATAAGCTGTTTCTCTTAGAGGATTAGTGGTTTATGTCGAATTCTGCGGATCCAGTTTTACACGATGGAGCAATTGAGGAGTAACTATGGTACTCACTAATTGACGTATAGTTG